TTTTTTTGGCTACTTATTTTCCATTTGTCAAATTTTCATGGGGTGAGTACGAGGATGATCGACAAGAAATGCTTATATTTTAAGGATGTCGATGTTTATATGATGCGTTAGTATATGGTAAAAACTTACTTTTATCTTCTTACTTTATCAAATTTAAAGATTTTAGTTCCTTACCTTATATTATGATACTTTTAACTTTTTATGTTACTAGATTTATAGGTTTTATCCCCTCATCTATTAAAATTAAAGAAAATAATTTTCATTTTATACTGATTATTAACTTTGTTAGCTAAAAATAGATTTTTGTCAACTAACAGTTAACTAACAGAATTAACAAAATATTATAAAATTAGTTTTATTAACTCTGTTAGTTGAAAAAAGATTTTTGTAAACTAACAGTCAACTAATAGTTAGTTAATAGAGTTAATAGTAAACTAATAGAACTAATAAAATGTTATAAAATGATGGTTATTTTCTTCAATTTTAATAAGTGAGGGGCTACAAGTGTTATAGTATGGGATAAAGGGTTAAAACCTACAAATTTAGTAAAGTGAGATTAAAAATAGCATAATATAAGATGAAGAGTTACAACTTTCAAATTTGATAAAGTGAGAGGATAAAATAGGCTTTTAGCTTAGTGCATTGATATCTAATTCCTTGTTTTGAGAATTTAGAGATTTTTATTTTGATTTTTTTAAAAAATATCTTAAGAACATATATTGATCTCTACCTTTCTCAAGTAGCCCTTATTCAGAACCTTGGCTAAAATATCCAACAGACATGGCTCCGTAGTATTCCTTCAACTTCGTAGCCGTTCGGCAATCATCATCTCATCACCATCAGCTGCAGAAGAATGCTTAAGCAAGAACGACATCATCTTCGCCAACCACCCTCGATTGATGATTGGCAAACACATGAGTGACAACTGCGAAAGCCTCGTCTGGTCTCCCTACGGCCATAACTGGAGAAACCTTAGACGAATTGCGTCCATCGAAATATTATCAAATTCCCGCCTCCAAATGCTATCGAGCAGACGCATCGACGAAGTTAGATTACTGATGCGTAATCTCTTAGGTATTCAAGACAAGCCCGTTAATTTAAGAACAGTGCTTTTGGAGTTAACGCTCAATGTGATGATGAGGATGATAGCTCGAAAGCGATACTATGGCGAGAACGTAGCGGATGCGGAAGAGGCGAGTAGATTTCGAGTGCATCGAGCTAAGATGAGGAAGGTGATTTCCGTAACTAGTAACGGGGATTTCTTGCCCTGGCTTAAATCCAAAAGGCTAGAACAGAGGATGATTGAGTGTCAGCAAAACAAAGAGGATTTCTTCTAGAAATTGATAGATCAGAGTAGAAGAAGAACGATGGACCAACAAAACGGAGAGAGGAAGAAGACAATGGTTGAGGTATTGTTGTCACAACAAGAATCGGAACCAGAGTGTTACACCGACGATATGATTGCAAGCTTAATGCTTGTAAGATCTCTGTTTTTGTGCTTCCCCTGTTTTATACTCCTAAGTACATTAAATGTTCTTGTAATAATGTAAGACTTTCTCCTTGGGTCTTTTGTCTACAGGAACAGAAACTTCAATAAACACCATGGAATGGATACTTTCGCTTCTGCTTAATCATCTAGAAGTAATGCATAAGGCACGAAAAGAAATTGAAACCATTGTTGGTCTTGACCGCCTAATAGACGAACCTGATGTGGCTAATCTTCCTTATCTTTGTAACATCATTGGTGAATCAATGCGGATGTACCCCACAGTTCCCCTACTGGTGCCTCATGAATCAACAAGCGAGTCCAGGGTAGGGGGCGACCGTATTCCACCGGCACGTTACTATTCATTAATACTGGGGCGATACAGAACGACCCGATTATCTGGGAGGAGCCGAGAAGGTTTAGGCCTGAAAGGTTTGAAGGAACAATGAAAGATGGGTTCAAATGGTTGCCATTTGGGTCAAGTAGGCGAGCCTGTCTTGGCGAGAACTTGGCATTGAGGATTATTGGTTAACTCACGGGTCTTTGATTGAGTGCTTTGAATGGAAGAGGATTGGGGAGAAGATGGTGGACATGACATAAGGTACAGGATTCACCATGAATAAGGCTCCGCTGTTGCAAGCTAAATGCCACCCATGTGCTACCCTGGTTAAGCTCCTTAACCAAATTTGAAACTATCTGCTCCCTGTAACCTTTACCATTACTCTTGAAATACTTCCACTTCATTGTTCAGTGCTGATTTGCCTTTTAGTCAATATCATTACATTTTTGTTTTATTAACTTTTATTTATGTTCAATTTCCTTGGACTTTTGTAAAATACAACAAAGTAATTGATGGGGGGAAAACAAAGGCATGTACTACAAACACACAAAAGTAAGGGCAATCTGGTTTAAGACTTCTAAGTTTGAGAGAGCAATTCCACCATGGCTTGACACGGGCGACACCTTGCCTGCAAAGGATGGGTCTTGGTCATGGTGAGACCAGTCCCCTCCGCCATATCCACCATTTCCTCTCCAACCCTTTCCCACTCAAAGCATTGAATTAGTGACACCAATGTCAACCCCACCACATGTGTGGCCAGTCCTTCACCCGGACATCCCCTCCTCCCCGACCCAAAGGGCATGAACTTGAATCCATCCTTATTTCCTTCCAATCCTTGGAATCTCTCCGGCTTAAATTTTTTCGGCTCCTTCCAAATCTTTGGATCATAGTGTATTGCCCATAGATTCACCAACAATGTTGTGCCGCAAGGAATTCGAAATCCTCCAACAACACAATCTTTCGACGATTCATGAGCAAATAACAATGGAGATGCTGGGTACATTCTGAGAGTCTCATTTATGACGCAATGAAGGTACGATAGCCTACTCAAATCTGATTCTTCAACCAAACAATTCTTGCCCACAACATCATCAATTTCTGCCTGAGCCTTCTTCAAAACCTCTGAATTGTTCAACAAAGGAGACACTGCCCACTCCATTGTTCCGGCTGATGTATCAGTTCCGGCTAAGAGCAAAACCTGTAAATACATGACACAGATTATCAATGACCATGATAAATTGTATTAATATTACAGCTACAATGATTTTTAGATCTTAATTTTTTACCAAGATCATGCTTTTGATGTCCTCGTCTTTGTGATGCTCTGGTTCTGTTTTTTGAAGAGACAACAAGGCTTCAATAAGGGTCAAGTTCTTACTCTCCTCCATTTTTTTCCTACACTCATCTACCAATTCCTGCACAGATTTATCTCTTTCCTTCTGCAACTCTATTAATTTCTTTTCGTTATTGCTAATCCACTTGAATGCCGGTAAAAAATCACCCACGTTTGTTGCGCCGCCGGTTCGAAATGATTCTACAACCATCTTCTTAAATCCCATAGCTTCCTCCACCTCAACCATGCTGTCACCGTAATACCTCTTCCCAGCTATTATTCTCATCATCACGTTCATTGTCACCTCGAAAAACATGGGTTTCATCTCAATTGTTTGACCCTGATTCTTGAACAACTTCCGGAGCAGCAAATGGACCTCATCTCTGTGGATGTTGGTGAGCAACTGGAGCCGATTTGCGCAGAAAATATGGATTGAAAAGATACACCTCAGGTTTCTCCAGTGATCACCGTACGGGGCCCATAGAAGGGAGGTGTAGTTGTAAACCAGGTGCTTGCCGGCGAGAATTTGGGAACAGTAAGCGAAGACAATGTTGTTTTTGCTAAGGCAATCTTCAACGGTGACTGGTGATGACACAACGAGGACGCGGCGAGAACCTAGGTGGAGGAAGAATATTGGGCCATAGTAATTTGAGATTTTGGACAAGCAACGGTGCAGAGGTTTATTGAGGAGGTTGAGATGCCCGATTATGGGTAGAATCGAGAAGGGGTATGGCGGGAGCTGTCGGATCTTGTGGAGAAAGTGGGCGGTGATGACATAGAGAACCGTAAAAAGGAGGATGTGCAAGAACATGGTGTTTGATGGTGGAAGGCGGCCGGTGGAGCAGAGGAGGTTAGTTTCCACAAAACACAAAAAATAGCACTGTCTGAACTCTAAGCACTACACAGCAAGTCGGGAGTGGTCACTGAAAAAACAGTGTTATTTAGTTGAATGGACCATTTTACCCATATCTTCAATAAATCCGTCATTACCTCAGCAAAGTGTATACTTTCTCCACATTGGCAAGAACCCACTGAACCTTCCAGATAAGCCAGCAGATTTGCATTTTAGATAGTTGAGTGGGATAATCTAATACTGATTAAATAAAAAATAAATAGTTGGATTAAATAATCAACACTTAAATAATTTAATAGTAATTTTTTCATTAAAAATAAGAAATTCTGAATTTGAATTACATGTCATGCAAGTAGAGTGAGATAAGAGACGAGAGATAATTGTCTTTCATTGTACAATCAACATCAAAATATAAAAATTATGAATTAAATATAAAAAAATTATTTCAATTTTTGTTAAGTAAATTTAAATTAAATGTAAATTTTAAACTTATTTAATAAGATCTGAAGTTAATATCAGATTGCATGAAGGAAAGTGTATTAAATTATATGATAAGATCTAACCTCCATGATAGATCTGCGTGTTAAATAATAATAAAAAAAATTACCAAAAAAAAAATAATAAAAATTAT